ATTTAGAACATGTTTTACATTTCTGGGTCTGTAGCTCTGCTATCCAATACTACTGAATTTAAAATTGGTCCTGGATATTAGATTTTAATATTTGGGCAACAATATTTATTGCCATTGAATTTCTAGAGATGGGGGTGCAACCCCATCTCTACTAAATATACAAAAATTAGCTGGGCGTGGTGGTGCACATTTATAGTCCTAGCTACTCAGAAGGCTGAGGCAGGAGAATCACTTGAACCTGGGAGGCGGAGGTGGCAGTGAGCTGAGATCAAGCCACCGCGCTTCACCCTGGGCGACAGAGTGAGAATCCATTCCCCTCCCCAACCAAAAAAAAACCACCAAACTATCCAGGCAACAAAAAGCACGATGAATGTAATTGTACCTCACATTTCAATACTAACACTAAATGGAAATGGCCTATATGCTCCACTTAAAAGACAGAACTGCAGAATGGATAAGAACTCACCTGCTGTCTTCAGGAAACTCACTTAACACAAGGACTCAAATAACATATAGGGATGGACAAAGACATTTCATGCAAATGGACACCAAAAGCAAGCAGGGATAGCTATTCTTATATCAGACAAAACAAATTTTAAAGCAACAGTGGTTAAACAAGACAAAGAGGGACACTATATAATCATAAGTGGCCTGATTCAACAGGGAAACATCACAATCCTAAACATATATGCACCTAACACTAGAGCTCCAAAATTTATAAAACAATTACTAATAGACCTAATAAATGAGATAGACAGCAACACCATAAGAGTGAGGGACTTCAATACTCCCACTGACAGCACTAGACAGGTCATTAAGACAGAAAGTAAACAAAGAAACAAAGGATTTAACTTTACCCTAGAACACATGAAGTTAACAGATATATACAAAACATTTAATCCAACAACTGAACAACACACATTCTATTCAACAGCGCATGGAAGTTTTTCCAAGATAGATCATATGATAGGCCATAAAACGAGCCTCAGTAAATTTAAGAAAATTGAAATTATATCAAGCACTCTCTCAGAGCACAGTGGAATAAAACTGGAAATCAATTCCCAAAGGAACTTTCAAAACCGTGCAAATACATGGAAATTAACCTGCTCCTGAATGAGCATTGGGTCAAAAACAAAATCAATATGGAACATAAAAATTTTTCAAACTGAATGACAATAATGACACAACCGATCAAAACCTCTGGGATACAGCTAAGGTGGTAAGAGGTTCATATCCCCAAATGCCTACATCAAAAAGTCTGAAACAGAACAAACAGACAATCTAAGGTCACATCTCAAGGAACAAGAACAAACCAAACCCAGCAGAGAAAACAAAATAACCATGATCAGAACAGAACTAATTGAAACTGAAAGAAAAAAATAAAAAAGGTAAATGAAACAAAGAGCTGCTCCTTAGAAAAGATAAATAAAATTGATAGGCCATTAGCAAGATTAACCAAGAAAAGAAGAGAGAAAATCCAAATAACCTCACTGAGAAATGAAACAGGAGATATTATAACTGACACCACTGAAAGGCAAAGAATTATTCAAGGTTACTATGAACACCTTTACACACATAAACTAGAAAACCTAGAAGAAATGGATAAATTGCTGGAAAAATACAACCCTCCTAGCTTAAATGAGGAAGAATTAGATACTCTGTACAGACCAATAACAAAGAGTGAGATTAAAATGGTTATTTAAAAATCACCAAGAGAAAAAGTCCAGGACTAGACAGATTCACAGAATTCTACCAGATATTCAAAGAATTGGTACCAATCGTTTTGACACTGTTCCACAAGATAGGGAAAGAAGGAACCCTCCCTAATTCATTCTGTAAAGCCAGCATCACCCTAATACCAAAACCAGGAAAAGACAAAACCAGAAAAGAAAACTACAGATTAATATCCTTGATAAACATTGATGCTAAAATTCTTAACAAAATACTAGCTAACCAAATCCAACAACATGTCAAAAAGATAATCCACCATAATCAAGTTTGTTGCATACCAGGGATGCAGGGATGGTTTGACACACACAAGTCAACAAATGTGATACACCACATAAATAGAATTCAAAACGAATTCACATGACTATTTCAATAGATGCAGAGAAAGCATTTGACAAAATCCAGCATCCCTTTATGATTAAAACTCTCAGCAAAGTTGGCATACAGGCGACACAACTTAATGTAATAAAATCTATCTATGACAAACCCACAGTCAAAATAATAGTGAATGGGGAAAAGTTGAAAGCATTCCCTCTGAGAACAGAAAAAAGAAAGGATGCCCACTCTCAACACTCCTCTTCAACACAGTTCTGGAGTCCTATCCAGAGAAATAAGACAAGAAATAAACAGCATCTAAATCAGTAAACAGGAAGTCAAACTGTACCTGTTTGCTGATGATGAGATCATTTACCTTGAAAACCCTGAGGATTCCTCCAGAAAGCTCCTCAAACTGATAAAAGAATTCAGCAGTTTCTGGATACAAAACTAATGTAAAAAACTCAGTAGCTCTTTTATTCACCAACAGCAAGCAAATGGAGAAATAATCAAGAACTCAACCTCTTTTACAATAGCTGAACAAAAATAAAATACTTAGGAACATACCTAATGAAGGAGTCGAAAGAACTCTACAAGGAAAACTACAAAACACTGCTGAAAGATATCATAGATGACACAAACAAATAGAAACACAGCCCATGCTCATGGATGGGTAGAATCAAATTTGTGAAAATGACCATACTGCCAAAAGCAATCTACAAATTCAACAGAATCCTCATCAAAATACCGCCATCATTCTTCACAGAGTTAGAAAAAACAATTCTAAAATTCATATAGAGCCCACATAGCCAAAGCAAGACTAAGCAAAAAGAACAAATCTGGAGGCACCACACTACCTGATTTCAAACTATAAGGCTGTAGTCACCAAAACAGCATGGTACTGGTATAAAAATAGGCACATAGACCAAAGGAAGAGAGAACCCAGAAATAAACCCAAATACTGACTACTTGAAAAAGATACTTGAACATCCATATTTCTAGCAGCACAATTCACAATTTCAGACTCGTAGAACCAACCAAAATGCCCATCAATCAATGAGTAGATAAAGAAACTATGACATGCACATATATGTTGGAATACTACTCAGCCACAAAAAGAAATTAACAGCATTTGCAATGACCTGGATGATATTGGAGATTATTATCCTAAGTGAATTAACTGAGGAATGGAAAATCAAACATATATTCTTGCTGATATGTGGGAGGTAAGCTATGAGGATGCAAAGGCATAAGAATGATAAAATAGACTTTGAAGACTTGGGGGGAAGAGTAGGAAG